GAATATTGTGCAGATCCGAGGTTTCGTCGTATAATGTGCAAACAGCAAGCCAGGGGATCGCGTCAGATGGCTTGCGCATTGGAGCTTGCCAAGTGCTAGAGGGAAGCAGCTGTTGGCAGGCATCAATGCTTCGAACTCGAGTAGTTGCACATTGTTTAGATTTGTGGTATTTGTAGGTATTGGACCTCACATCTATCAAAACAGAAAATGGTCTTCGAAAGACGGTATCTTTGAAACGAGAAAACCGGCCTGGGTAAGGCTCTTATGATGTGATCCTTCACCGATACCCTTTTAGGTATTCCATGCTTCCAAATGACAGTATCTCATGTCACCCCTAGTGACTGCCGTTGGCTCTGCTTATTGTTGTGTGTGGTGTTCGCTTTCGTGGCCCCGTCCCATCTCAGGAGCGGCTCGTCAAGCCATCCCAGCACCCATTCCTAAGTTCCTAGACCGCGATGGGACTCGGTGTTGCGGGTAACGAGGAGGCGATTTTATCCCCCGTAGCAAGGGTGTCATTACTTGCCACCTTGGTTGCATCATCACTGCTTTTCCGCATAGGCTGTGATGGCGGAGCTAGCAGCCCTTGTTCAAGCCGGGGTTGTTCCGACGATGTCTGTCCAGGCTCCTGCTCCTGCGCCCCAGGACCAGCTTCAGATACCACCGCGGCATGCGCCGTCTCTGCCCTTCCCGCAGGCTGCAGTTGTCGGTTCACCCGAAGCACGGCGGCCGCGAGCTCGCGAACGCCAGCTGCTATTAGCTCGGGTCGCTCCCATGCCAGGAGACTGGCGTCTCCGCTGACGCGGTGAACATGCAGCACATCGTAGCTCGTCGCGGCCCAGGCGGGACAAGAATATGCCGGTTTTGGCCCATCGAATCCTACCTCTACTGGCCCTTCGCCACTGCCGCTACTTGTCCCACCGGCCCCTTTCTCATGGTCCCCCAGGAACACCGTAAGGGCAACACGTGGCTTTCCATGGGACCTCCTCTGCTTTTTCCCGTCGACACTATGCTCGGGATGTTGCACGCAGTGCGCCCAGATTCGCAGCGCGGCCTCGGGACCAGGCAGCCACGCGAGCTGTGTGAAGTTGATGATCTCGGTCGGCGAAAACTCCTTGCGCGGCGCGAGGAGGCGGAGACCTTTCATGGCGAAGACGAGGAGGCCCGTCGGCGAGTCGCAGAGGGCGTAAGAGAGAGTATTAGGTTCGGCGAGGCCCATGCCGCTCCGTGCGCATTTCGGGGCCGTCGTCGATGATGTAGCCGTCTTCCTTGGCGAGATACCGCTTCTGCGGAGGGCTTTGTAGTCCTCGGTGCGATAGCCTAGAATAGATGCCTCAAAGAATCGCGCGACGGACCATTTCGCCCACCCTAGCGGCGCCTCGCGCGCTCTCGGTCGCGCCAGGGGAGGAGAGATGAGATGGGTACCGAGGCATGAGTCCGAGTAACGTGTTGCGAGCCAGTCGGCGAGCTTGTAGTCGATCTGCGCGGGCGAAAGTGACCCTGCGCCTGCATTGGTGAGCAGGTAGTGCGGGTATCCCAGCCGCTTCATCAAGGCGTCGAGAAGCTCGGCCGTAGAAGATATCACGGGAGAATTCGTCGGGAGCGCATCGCTGAACCCCAGGCCTGGCAACGAAGGGATGACGAGATGAAAAGGCTGGTGGTTCGCCTCTTCCGGCTCAGTGAAGAGCTTCACCAGATGTCCCACGGAAAGACTGGAGAAGGGAAAGGGGGGTATCAGTAAAAGGGGTATCGCGTTGGCGCGCGGTGAGGGAACATGGATGAAATGAAGCCTGATAGGCGATTCGGATTGGGCGATGGTGAACGCTGTCCGAGACTGTGGGAGAGCGTTCAGTATCTCTTCTTGGTCGCGCCAGTTATATTGTTCGAGCCTGTTGGGCGTCAATAGACAGTTCAAGAGACCCCGGCCGTGTCATCTCCGCCCGACGGGTATAACTCACCAAAAATCAATAAGGGGCTCAACCTGAGACTTTGGCTGCCACCAGTCTTTCGACTTGGGCTCATCGAACTCATGGGGTAACCGCGCAATCTCAAGTTTCTGTCTAGTAAGATTCAGATATCGAGATGAGACCTGGTCACAGCAGATGTCAGCCACACATATGTCGACTCACATGATGATCTCCAACACACGCGAGACTTACATGAATTTTGTAGGGCTTCACTTCCTCTGTAGTGGTACTGCCATCTCCTGCCACAACAGACTCCTCAATATCGCCAGCCATCAGAGTATATGCCGGGCGGGGGAAGGAAAGGAAAGGAAAGGAAAGGAAAGGAAATGAAAAATCGTGATCAATTATGTGCTAGCTGCCGATAGATAGCACCGCGAGAACAACAAGTAGACAGTGAGCAGAAAATAGAGGGCAAAGTAACGAGCGTCGGGGATATATGCATATGCGCCTCAGTGCGGCGCGAGGGAGCTCGGGAGATATGATATATATATATATATATATACCTAGGTATATTTACTCGTGGATCAGTATCGCAGCCGCATGTCTACACGCAGGCCGGGAGAAGGGGCCGTCTTCTTATTTAATTATATTCCGTTTTCAGGGACGCCCGGGAGGACGAGGATGCCAAGCCAGCTCTCTCGGTGGCTTGACTCGGTGTGGCTAAAGTAAGGTCTGGTCAAGGGTCGTACGTTGCCAAGCGTCGCCTGGAAGCGCTTAGTGCGACCACGCGCCGTTGGGAAATCAAGGCAGAGGCAGCTTTGGCGGCCAATCAATGCGAGGCTGACCGGCTAGACCGCGAAATGAACGTCCAGGCATCCAGGGTCTCGCAGCGTCTCTCTCGTGCCTTCCAAGTCTTTTGCCGGTCTTACGAGCGGCCTCGAGGCAGTCCCCAAATTGAATGTTTCCATCCTCCCACATCCCACAATGCAGACACTGCTGCATCGAGATGCATGCATTACATGGAACCACCTGGCAAGAGGGCTTATTAAGTTATCTACACGTGTATATTATGCATTATCCATGTTTGCATCAACATCGAACTCCCTAGATCACGGCTGTCGTTTGTTTCAAGTCGGCATACCTGGTCGGCCTCAATACCTGCTCGCCTGGCATCTTCATATTCGTGCGGGTACGCCCACGACGCTAAATCGAGCCTAATAAACCACACGAGCCCCCCGGCCCCCCACACACGGACGACACATACATACACACTTACTTACATAGCCAGTTGCCCGCGCGTTTCCAGTTTCCCAGTTTCCGTGCCTTATGCAGGGTCCAAACCGGCAGGTTCGGGACAATGGTAACAGCCTAACAGGCGAGGACAGGTAATCGCCTATATCTTACGTACATATCTGTTACCTACCTCGCCTACCCCTTTGAATATCCAGACACGACAGGCCCTGGCCCGATTATAAAAGCGCTTTGTATGAACCTGATTCAGGTTTTCTCTCACCCGGACTGACAGTCCCATCATCTTACGCGACGGCTACCCATCATACCGTATTATCTGCAAACCCGAGTGAGCGGTGAACCTGGGCTCTTTGAGAAGCTGTGACGCGACGTTTTCGAAGTGTCCTTCACTCAGCCAGCATTGGACCGACCCATCAATGTTAGCTAGCCTGGCACTTTCACCGGGTTCGTCTCACTAGTGATATGACTTGCACCGGCCAAGCTTTGAGTTGGCATGACGGTCGAGACACGGTATTTGCAATCATTCTACGCTGTCCACTTATTGATATTCACTGATCGTGGCAAATATCGGAGCATGATTGAAACATACCTAGCGAGCGTGGAAATCGAAATCCTGGGCGGACGATGATCCTCTGCAAATGGCCACTCTGATCGCATCTCCAGTCTTCGACTTACTTACTCGTATTCAGTCCTTATTGACGATGCAATGTGTCCTCAGGGCATCTGCTCGTCCTATGAGCATTAAATTTCACATTCCATGATAGCAGCAACTGGATTACTGTTCGCTTCTCGCATAGTGTTGATAAATTTGTTTATGTCGGTATGTATCTTGAAAACCTCAAGTGTGCATTAGGATACAAGCAGTATCAGGGGGGGGGATGCTGTACACGACACGAAACCATATTCTGGTTCAATGATAACTATTAACTCTAGACTTTCAATGTGACAACAACTACAGCGCTGAATGGTGTCGGTCATGGTATAGTATGATCTCATTTGCAACTCTCCAGAATGAGGTGTAAAGCATGCCAATTTATCATTCTTTCACATCTGTATCTTCTTCGTTGCGCGTCCACCAACGCCACTGTATATCCAAAGTCAGCATCGGACTATATATGAAGAAGCTTCCAACACATTGAAACCAGTCTCCAGCCCATGTACTTACGAGCACTTTGCACCAGAAAACTGACTCCATGGTGCCTAGCACGCCAATAACAACAAACACCACAAATTTGGTGATACGGTTCATGCCGAGATCACGGAACCTGATGTGAAATTCCTCCTCTGGCGGCGACGGATCTATCTGAGAGCTTGGCGGCGACTGCGACTGCGACTGGGATTGCGAAGGTGGACTGTTTTTGCATGCATTTGTGGCGATATCTTTCTTAGCCGGTAAAGAAGTAGAGGCTTCCGAGAGGCGAGCACCGGTAGAGAAGTATTCTCTTGCTTCGCTCTTCTTCCATCCTATAGCGGACGGTTTCCCGGTGTTTGGAGTCTGGGATAGTTTGAATACTTCATTTATAATCTGTACATTATGGTAGTTGCGTGCAAGTGGTGCCCCTTGAGTGCGTCCTAGTGAGGCGGGGATTGCCAACAACGAGCCAGCATTGTTATCAACTGTTTCTGTACATGAAGGATGCTTTAGCAAATCAAAGCTAAGCTATATATATCTTAAATACGCCGTAATTAGTATAGCTAGCTACCTAGGTAGTATTTCGTACGCGAAAGGGCATTGCTATATATGAATAGATGTTAGTAATAATACTATATGCATCCGAAGAGGTTGAGGCTAGTTTCCCGGAACAGTTATATGCTACAACAATGCAAGTCACGTCAAGAAATCAGGCATTGATGGTGTAATGGTAACATTAGCGCTTCCCATGCGCTAGCCTCGGGTTCGATTCCCGGTCAATGCAATCTTTTTGGCGATATATGTATTGGAGAACCAGTGCGTAATCCGTGGTAACCTTCCAGTTCTGATGTGTTTTCAGGACAAACCTACTAAGTACATACCTATGTAAGTAACTCTGAGTACTTAGGGAGAGGGGCAACCGCGAGATTTACATAAATAACCCCACTAGCATGGATGCTAGTAGCTACCTCCTACCTCTTAGTGCCTTATGTACATGTAGGTAGTACGGTGGTTAGTAGGGGTACCTCCTAGGTAGGCTCGGTAGGTACCGCTGTGTCGTCTTACAGTTACCTGCTAGTAGGCAGGTCCATGCTGAGCTGGTAGCTCAATGACACACCAACTTGGAACTTGATCTCATAAGGTTGCTTCCTTCTAGCTATAACATACCTACCTAAGATATATCTACCCTACCAGGTAGGTCGAAGGTGGTGCAGCAGGGCCTACGTATCACTCACTCCCGTCACCCACCACTACCTACCTACTACTTACTACCTTGCCTACCTACAATCCGGTTTTGCGGATGAGCTGCAATTGAGACATCATACTACCTACCTACCTACCTAGACACTACTTACTTACTTACTTACTTACGTGAAGGCCCTACCCGTAAACGTCACATATTGTGCATCCTTCGCATACCTACTTGGCAGCTATAACTTGAAGGTTACCGCCCATCAGTTACCCCGCCAGTCAGCCGACGAGCCAGCAACAAACAGCCCAACATGAGCGGCGCCAAAGGCGGCGACAAGATCGACAAGATCATCGCGCGGCTCCAAGCACGCATCAGCGAGGGGCAGTACTACGAAGCCCAGCAGCAGACCCGCGTCGTCGCTGCGCGGTATACCAAGGCTGCCAACTGGACCGCCGCCGTCGAGATCCTCTACAATGTCGCCCAGTCGCTGCTGAAGGCTGGACAGGGCGGCAGCGGCGGCGACCTCTGCATCCTATTGCTCGACACCTACAAGCAGGCCGAGTTCCAGCCAGATGACGCCACCAAGAGCAAGCTGCTGACGTGCCTGCGTCTGTTCGACAGCGAGGAGCCCACGCGCAAGAGATACATTGGCGAGTTGATAGCGTACGTATTGGCACAAATCCCGATGCCCCTATATTGTTCACCGGATGCGTGGCATCTCTCTCCAGCTATCGAGAGAGAGAAGCAGTGTCTGTGCTATTGGAATGCGATATTGATACAGAAGCCTGCTCACAGATGGTCCTCGAAATTCGGAGAATACCCCGCGGGCGACCCCGAGCTCCACCATGTGGCCGGTTCCTTGTACGCCGAAGAACATGAGACTTACGATGCCGAGAAGCATCTGGTGTTGGGCACCAAGGAATCCGCCGATGTGCTTGCCCGCATGGAGTACGAGTGGTTCAAGGAGGACGACGCGCACACAGCTGCCCTGTATGCAGGCCGAGCGGTACTACCCTACCTGATAACGGCGAACGTCCGCGCCGCCAATACAGCCTACCGCGTCTTCACCAAAGCACTGAGCGACGACAGCGCATCCCAGCTGGGTGCCCAGGATGTGAGCAGCAACAGTGCAGACTTGCGTGTTTTCCCTAGCATACCACTTCTCAACTTCCTCGGCCTGCTACTGCTCGCCCTCCCGAGAGGCAGTCCAGATCTGTACCGGCAGTTGGTGACCAAGTACGCTAGCCATCTGCGAGAAGTCGACGTGTGGATCGAGGCGCTGGACATTATTGCCGAGATCTACTTCGGCATTAGTAAGCCCAAGCAGGGCAATCCGTTGATGGACATGATGAGTGGCTTCTTTGGCGGCGGCGGCGGCAAGCCTTCTGGGGGCAGCAACTCGAGGAAGCCTGCGGTCAAGGCCCCGTCAAAGCCGTCGACGTCGTTGTCGATGCCAGCCGCCGAAGGTGTGGACTAGTGTCGGACTTTTGCAGACGTATTTATACCATAGACCAACAGACAAAACAAGAATCCTGTCAATCCGGGTGATATAAATGGCATCTCCTCCTCTTGACCATGCTCATTCAGTGTACGCGCGGAGGCTCCTCGGCCTCGTACATCCAGTTGTCTTCGGCTAGCGCGGCTACCTCGGCCCTCATGCTAGCCCTGAGCGCCTCAAGCGCCTCTGGAGTGAATCTCGTCAGCCGTCGCGGAGCTGGAAAGGGATCGCCGGTGCAGGGAACCATACCTTCGGGATGCACAGACATACGCGTCATCTGGTGGAGGCGGACGGTCGCTGCCAGTCTGTGTCTTTCCCCTGTAGCCTCGGACTGCATCAGCACGGTGCCCAACTTGCGAAGAAGGATCGTGGAGAAGCAATCATACGTTCGCTCTCCTGTGCCTCATCCAGGGCCGCCTCTTCGTCTAGATCGTCGAGGGGCGGGGACGGCGGGTCCCCGATCTCGAACTCGCCGTTCGCGTCGCGGATGACAATGTCGGAAGACTCGGACAGCAGGTCACATTCGTGGCGCGGCATGTCGTCGACTGAGATGGACGATGATGATTTGCTAGCTGTACCGTTGCCATTGCCATTACTATTCCCATTGCCATTAGCATGAGTGGTGGCGGAGGAGATGCCGTTCGTCGCTGATGATGCGCCAGGACCTGATTTGGAGCTCTCTGTCGCAGTCGGTCGTCGGGAGAGATGGCTTTGGAACAAGTTGCGTCGCACGCCTGCTGCAGTGGTTGCTGTGCGAGGTTGGCGGCCAACAGCTGGGCGGACATTCGGGGGCGGCGGTGCGCGATCGGCCATTGTCAGGGCAGATGTCTTGGTGCCTGGAGGATTGCAGTGTTCCAAGGTTCCAAGATAAAGCTATCTAGGTAGATATTATACTGTATTCGAGAGGTAGCACTACAGCGGTGTTTGAGGTTCTGAGGGAGTGGTATGATACATCATTCATTAGTTGGCTCGAGGGTTCAAGTTCTTCCAGCATGTGACACGATGGCGAGTACTGTAAGTAATATAGAGGTATCCGAGGTAGCCTACCTCGCCTACATATAGGTACATAAGGAAGTACGAGTATACATATCTGTCAAGTGGGACATGGGTGGATGGGAAGCTGAGATGCTGGGGTTTATCGGCAAGCCCCACAACTTCAAGGTTTGGTTCTAGGTAGCATTTCCGTGGTTGTGTGTGACATGACTGACATAGGTACGGAGCACCTACAGAGTACGTATATGCAGGTGTACTTACTAACTGTCATTAGGTACCAGGTAGGTAGGCCGATATGCCTAACACATTGGTGTGCACATTGGAATACAAATTTGACAATGGGCAGCTTTAACGTTATTGATGGCTTGGGCATTGTAATAGCTTCAAATAGGGGCTATAAGACATCCAGGGATCATGAACCAGGCGAGCCAGGCGAGGCAAAGTTAAAAAAAAAAGTGATCGTGTCTATCTAGGTAGTAGTGGGTCCAGGACACGATCACTTTTTTTAACTCTGCCTCGCCAGGGTATAGTGATTGGGGGTTGACGTTGGAAACGCTGCGCAACGGACAATTTGCGATTGATTGGTCGCATGCATGTAGGTAGGTACCCAGCACCATAGCAACAATGAACCTAATCCAGGTATGCCATACGGCCTATACCCAAGTAGGTGCCTCCCGTACCTCCTTGGTAGGTAGGAGGTACCTACCTAGGGGTAGTGCGCTACTAATAAGCATCCACGGCGTTTGGTTACCCTTATGTCCAACCTTAGAAACAGCCTATTCCTGACCATTCACTTGCCACCAATCACAAATCAATTTACCGGGACATCGTGAGATGCAATAGGGATATCTGGACATCGGGCTACGCTTGTTACTCGGCCTTGTTCTCCATCAAACTCCCGATTATGTCGTTGCCGACATTTGCCATCCATCCAATTGCCCGTTTTAGTGGCGCGCCGCAACCAGTGAAGCGACCCAAGGTATAGTAGTCCCGTAGTCCCCCACGAAGCGTGAAGACGCACCTGGTGCCTCGACTCATGCGCCTTGTGCAATGGGCTCTGGAGGATATTCGAGCTCTGGCTGATACCCCCGAAGGAAGTCGCGTACTTCTCATACGACGATAATCACAAATTCCATCTTGATGATTCGTCGTTGCAATGGTACTACCCTCCTCAGCTGGGAGCAGACTTGTCCAAAGGGTTCGAGACATTCGACAAACACGATGATTCGATAGATGAGCACCTAGACAGCTTGTTGAAGACTATCATAGCTCATGAGAAAGAGGAGGGGAAGAAGATCGATGCCAACGTGATCACATGGCGTGGTATGATGACAAAGGTAAACATTTTCATGTTGAAGAAACCCATCCGTGTAAATGAATATTCTCTGACAACATCGTCTAGATAATGTCAGCGCCATTTGAGGACCGAGACGGGTGTGTCTAGAGCCTTCCCAGCCGTGTCAAGGACGTCATCCTAACCATTAATTCACCCTAGCTTCGAAATGCGGGCAACTCTGTTCCAAGTGCGTTTAAATACCAATACTAATAGGGGCATACTTACTGATAATACCAGGACTGCATGTACGGCCCCATCTCTGGAATTTGTCTATCGCGACTGGCACTGGATCAACCTAACAACGGTGCAGCTTTATTGAGGAGGATCATGGATACAAGCAACATGCCCATGCCACACAGGATAGACAACAGCGAAGCCGTCCCGGCCAATTCCCGCCCGAACTCATGGCTTACTGGGGTGAGAATCTGCGATAGTCGTCTCGTCTCGGACAAATTGCTGACATTGCAGGCTACAAATTTGAGACGCTAAGCTGTCTACCACGACCCGTATGTAACCTCTGGAGTCAACCGCCCATCGTTCCAGCCAGTTTCCGAGGACACAAGACGGTCTGATAGGCATGTGTTGTCTGAGTACCTGCAAACTCCCTAAACACAGCCATGTCTTGAATTCAGATAACATTAGCTGACTCCAATGGCTGAAGTGGGGCGAGATGAGTCGCGAGTTTATAGAAAACCGCGATAAGCACATCGTCAGTAATAAAGCGCAATATTGTTCGGTTGTCCGCACAGGCTTGGGGAAGACGAT